GGGCTCTGCACCTTCTGAAACAAAAGAGAAGTCATGAGCCCTTGCACACTGGAGATGTGGATGCTGGACCAGGGCTGCTGTAACAGCAGCTGAGAGGTCAGGGGTGATTTACTCGGCCTGATCTTGTCATTTTACGTTTCTCTTGGAAATGTGGTGTTTATAAAAGAATGTTTGGAAACTTGAATGCCTCAAAAGCTTTGACTTATGTAAGCTAAAAACAGTAAGCTTCAGATTCCGGCATTGAAGATAATCTAGCAAAAACCAATATGGAAAGCCTTATCTAGGAAATAAATCTCTATCTAGTGCTTTTGATTAATCAAAAATTCTTTTTTTTTTTTTACAGTTTCACCCAAGGACAAGATTTTCTAAAAAATCTCAAACTAATTTTTTATAGGACAGTTGACTAGGTCTACCATTCTACTTGAAATATGTTTGTAACAGTCTTCTACCCCTTTCTGAAATTTTGTTCTTGACTGTGTTTTTTTTTTTTTTTTTCAGTCAACCAGTATTGTTCTTAATTAGAAATTTAAATTACATCTGCAGTTTGTACACACCAGGGGATATATTTATGTGATACTTTTAGTCAAACTAAGATATTTTCATAACTTCTACATAACATTTTTTTCAGAGAGTGCTTATTGATGAGACTTCATAGAAATTGTGCAAGGATGTATGCAAGGAGAGCAGATGTGTAGTCAGGAGAGACCTTACAAGGAAAACATTTCTTGAATATATTTATTTATTTTAGTGTGACGCAGGAAAAAAAATTTTCTTTTTATGCTATTCTTTTATGTATTCTCCCTAAGTATATCGCACAGATAGGTGCTGTTGCAAAGTGGGCACAACCTTACACATTGAGATATTTCATTAAATTTCAATGAGGCAATTAAGGAAACTCATTTTCAAAGATATACATTTATTTCAGTAGCTTGAATGTTGCTTAATCAGGAAATGACCAGAATACTAAATACTAAAAGGTAGGTTGAGCTCGGGAGATCAGCAGCTTTGAGAGTCAGGCTGCTGAAAGGGAAGACAAGGGGGTTAGAGCGCAGAGGCCCTTGCTGTGGGTGGAAACTAATTGGCTGAAAGCATGAATACGTTACATTTGTTATTCACGTCAAGGCAAAGCTGAGAGAAGAAGGACGAATACTTGTGTCTACCTCCCCCTCTGCCATATGATATACAAAATAAAGGCGGGTCCTTAGACTTCAGCTCTTCTTCTTAGAGCAGTAAGAGGAACAGAAGCCCAGTTCCTTGGCAGCGTTTCTGTGACCTGTCAGATTTGGCGTCCTCAGCCAATAAAACACTGCTAAGAGGGTTGCTAAGAAATTCTCCAACAGAAGAACATTTATTATTACTGGGATCATTGTCCTTGAGCCTGGGATTGTGTTTAAATGCTTTCAGTGAAAAACCTCTGATTTCAGGGCTAGACCAGTTTTTCCCTCTTTTCATGGGCCTGTACTGTGCTGGGTACCTGTAACCTTCACACATTGACCACAGATTGACCCACAGCCCTGTTCCCAAGACTAAAGATTCTAGTATGATGTTATCAGACTTGAACTTGATCAGACTCAATATTGTAGAATGAAATCTTTTACAAATATATTAGTGTTACTTTCCAAACATTTTGCAAAATTTTTATAAGAGAGACGCATGGAACTTGGAAAATTCTGTACAACGCTGCTCTCAGCAAAGTCCTAGCCAAGGAACACTTCTTGCCATTTTTGGACCCTGTCTTTTAAGCCTCAGCTTGCATTCTTCTCTGCAGTTTTCCACCCCTCAGGGTCTCCGACTCTGCTCCCCCTTGGATCTCTCCGTTTTGACACTGGTTTGGACAACCTCGCGGTGTGCGCCAGTGATTTCACAACTTGTTCCTAACTAAAGCATAAGCTCTGTCAAAGTGGTTGGTGCTGGTTTTGGTGTTGTCCCTAACACAACAAGTGCATACAGGTGCACAGTTAAATTAAGGACATTACTTTGTTTGGAAGTCTATCAAGAGGCTGAAGTTAAGGATAGTCACATATTATGTTTTCTACATTGAGTCAGCTTAACGGGTCTAAGTCAAAAGTCCTGGGTTTGCTTCTCAGCACTGTTGCTTAATTAATCTCATGATCTTTGGTATATGTATCTTCGTCAGTGATTTCTTAATCCCCAAATCTCCTTTCAATCTAAATGTTCAAAGTCAACTTGATTGATCTATAGCAGTGGTTCTCAAAGTGTGGTCTCCAGATCAAGAACACCAGCATTACCTAAAACTATTAAAAATGCAAGTTATTCCCTGGCCGGTTTGGCTCAGCGGTTAAAGCATCGGCCCATGGACCAGAGAGACCCAGGTTTGGTTCCCGCTAAGGGCATGTGCCTCGGTTGCAGTTTGTCCCTGCCCTGGTTGGGGTCGTGTGGGTGGCAACCAGTTGATGTGTCTCTCACGTCAATGTTTCTCTCTTTCTTTCTTTCTTCCTCTCTCGCTCCTGTTCTATCTGAAGATAAATGCAAAAATGTCCTTGGGTGAGGATTAAAAATAAAGCAAGTTGTCAGCCCAGCTGGGGGATTCAGTTGGTTGAGTGTTATCTTGTACACCAAAAAGGTCATGGGTTCAATTCCTGGTCAGGGTACTTACCTAGGTTTCGGGTTCAATCCCTGGTCACGGTGGGTATAAGAAGCAACTGATTGATATTTCTCTCACACATCTATCTTTCTCTCTCTCTAAAAGTCAATGAAAAAATATCTTTGAGTGAGGATTAAAAAAAAAAAAAGCAAATTCTCATATTGAATCAGAAACTGTGTTTTAACAAATCTCCCAGGGGCTTCTCCTGTGCACTAACATTTAAGAACTGGTCTGCAGTATAGTCAAGTCCCGGGTATAGTGGGAAGCTCCATACCACAAACTTAGTGAACATTCAGGATTGTGCCATCATGGTTGACATTTAAATCATTATCTCGTGTTTCATCTTTAAGGCTCTGCAGAAAGGCTCACTATTTTTCTAGGTACTATCCACAGAGTTGCAGCTCTCAGGCTCCTATAAAGCGCTGGCAATTGAGGAGTGAAAAATTTTTCTTAGGGTGAACAAAGAATGTGCAGTGGACAAGGGATTAATTTCTAGCAGCAGCCTCCTGATTTTGTATTCATAACGTTGCATGTATGCTAGGCTACACATGCAACATCTGCTGATATACATTAGGTAATTGGGCATCCAGCAGCCCCATTTGTATGCAAAGGTAGTGCACACCTCCCATTTAAAAGTCTAAAATTAAAGCCCTGTTTGAAGCTGGCCGAAGGCTCTCTGCTAGGAACATAAATAGATAAGGAAGAAATGGCTTCTGTTAATCAGCACTTTTGGCCTCTACTGTTCAATCTTTGCTAATTTGTCCTTTGGAATTATACATTCTGTGTTGAAGAGAGACTTCTAAGAGTATCTTTTTTTTTTTTAAAGAAAACCTACATTTATAAGCTGATTGTGTTTATCCATAACATTTCCCCTAACAGCATAACCACATGTATGCTGCAGTCTGTTGCTGTGCTATATTTTTGCTTTATGATCTATTCAAACTCATGTAGGACCACATGGATCATCTCAAAGAAGAGACACCCAGCACAGACTCACAGGCTGGGTGTTGGCATCATTTCATTTCAATTCAGCCCACATTTGTCAAGTAGCTACATTGTACCAGGCGCCGTGCCAGGGGCTGGGCATAAACAGATCAATCAAGCACAGTTTCTGCCCCCAAAAGCTTACAATATTTTAACAGCTTCTTGATATCCCAGAGTTGAATATTTTTGCATAAATGAAGTCTTCTGTGATAATCCCATGAATTGAAGCGACTCCTTGCTTCTTTGAACTTCTGATTATGCTTAACCAATGTCTCAAGGAGAAAGAAGGATCCATGCCTGGAAGAGGCAGAACTCAAAAGCGCAATACTGTTGGCCACTCAGATAGGTCATCAAGAAGAGATGGCTGCACTAATTCACACCTCTTGTTCATTACCGTGTTATATACAATAGCCAAGATTTGGAAGCAGCCCAAGTGTCCACCAGTAAATGAGTGGATAAAAAAGCTGTGGTGCACTTACACCATGGAATACCACTCAGCCTTAAAAAGAAGGAAATCTTACCTTTTCTGACAGCATGGATGAACCTGGAGAGTGCTGTGCTAAGTGAAATAAGCCAGTCAGAGGAAGACAAATATCATATAATCTCACTTATATATGGAATCTAATGAACAAAATAAACTAACAAACAAACCAGAAACAGACTCATAGATACATAGACCAGACTGACAGCTGTCTAAGGGAAGCAGAGTTGAGAAGCTGGGTGAAAAAGGTGAAGGGATTAAGCAGCAAAAAACCTCATAGATACAGACAACAGTATGGTGATCACCAGAGGGAAAGGGGAGGAGGGTAGAAGAGGGTAAAGAGGGGGTAAATGGTGACGGAAGGAGACTTGACTTGGGGTGGTGAACACACAATGCAATATACAGATAATATATTATAGAAGAGTACACTTGAGACCCATATGATTTTACTAACCAATGTCACCCCAATACACTCAATAAAAAGTAATGTAAGAGGAGATGGCTGCATTGTAAATGACCCATACTCCCAATTTATGGAAACACAGAATGCATGAGTGTTTCTTGTGCTTCCAGTATGGGTTGCGTGGAAGAGAATGCCGATCCAACGCCACCTCAAAGGGGCCCGCCCATGAGCATCCCCTGAAGGAATGATGGATCCCTGCAGAGTTTACCAAGACCCACAGTGAAGCAGTCGCTTGTCACTCCTACACTTGCTTTGTATTCCACATTGGGCCACGTGCTTTGTTTTACTGTGACAACTGGATTGTAAGCTTCTAGAGTACAGACCTGGGTCTTAAGATTCTCTCCCATAGTACGTATTTGATGGTGCTGGCAGTAAATAGAGTGTCTTAGCAGGAATAATGCTTGGTGGTTTATAGGCATTAGTAGTTTCTCATGCTAATAAGCAATTTTTTTTTCTCTTCATTCTAGCATAGGTGCATACACCTTGATAACACCAAATCAAAACCGAAGAAATCAGATACAAAGGAGTATGTATATTTATTTAAAATTTATAAAGCTTCTCATTTTCTTATAGAGGACAATTGATTTGCTTTGGTCTGAAGTATTTTTATTCTCTGATTTGAATATACTCACTAGATCTCATCAAGTTTTTTTTTCTTTATTTAACTTTAGCAGTTTTAGTTATGCCTTTTAAAGTTATTCTATTGTTAATGCTTCTAAACTCGTTTCTCTATGTTAGCAGCAGAGCTCAGAACACGACTGTAAATCTCAGATTTTGGTTGGGCTCAGTTTCACACCTATTGCCAAGCGACCTATCTCTATTCCTTAAAATTGGGCTGACTGCAGATATTTTTATAGGACTGAATATGTTTGAAGTAGACAAATTATATACTTGAAATAATTATGTACTTGAAATAATTTGTCTCTTTCTTGGTGTGTTTTATCCCTTCTTAATGGAATTATTTTTAAGCTTCTGTGCTCCCATAATTTTGTAACCAGCACAGTCTGCTCTCAGTTATTTTTATTTGTGTACAGTATGTAAATACACTTCACATTGTTGATAGTTTCTGCAACTTCAAGCAAAACAACATATAGTAAAATACTTCAATGTTCTTCTCTAGAATAAAGCCTCTTTGAGGACAGGAACCACAATGTACTTGTTTTTGTGTTTATATCTGGTGGGTATGTAAGATATTTAATTGAAATTGTACAGTAAAATGAATGCTGTCACATATTTATTTATTTTTTTAATCTTCACCAGAGGATATTTTTTGCCATTGATTTTTAAAGAGAGTTGGTGGGGGGAGACACACACACACACACACACACACACACACACACTGATTGGTTACCTCCCACATGCACCCCAGCCAGGGGCCAGGGATCGAACCTGCAACTCAGGCATGTGCCCTTGACCAGGAATCGAACCTGCGACCCTTCGATGCACGGGCTGACACTCTAATCACTGATCCACACCAGCCAGGGCAATGCTGTCATTTAAAGTTACAGCATTATACAGTAGAGTTCGAAGGAGAACTAAATTTAATTTAATTCATAAAGAAGTTACGAAGCTTGCTCATGTCAAGTTGTGGGACTAGCAGTGAGATTCTTTATTAGATCTTCGTAGGAAATTTAATTTTATGACTAATTAGGGCACAACAGGAAAGCAAGCTGTAAAGGGACGCCCCCAGACCGGTATCCTCCTGGTGGTAAAACTGGATCAGTGCAGAATAGACAGATGCTGCTATGCAGTGAGTGGCCACTGCTAGCAGTTGACCAACAGAATCCCAAATGTTTTGGCATCTCACAAGCTTTCGATTTAGATACTTAAACCTCAGTGTGATCTGGATTTTTGAGGTGTTTCGGAAAGTTTTCTCTCTCTAATAATTAAAAAATATTATAAATGGACATTTGGAACAATCAGGTCTAATGGGATTCAGCATGTTGTAAGTATGGAATTAGTATCTCTGGCGCCCCCTGCTGTCACTCAGAGTTATATTTGGGGAATGAACACTTCCAAGTGCCAGGAACCAGAGCGGGGTTGCTCACCTACAGTGACAGAGCCCTTATGCCCTATGGTTACAGTTTAAATAAAGAATATGGGTATCAGAATGACCTGGGGATATATATTTACCTACATGTGGAAAGTTCTTATTGACATGAACATTCTAGTTTTGCACACATTTTTTTAGAATGGGAATAACAAAACTCCTTTATTTTAGTAGGAGTTCAGGCTGTTTTCCAGATTTGAACTTCCTATGCAGAGAAAATGCCACAGGGGTGGGCCCAGGGTGACTCCAAGGGGTTAGGCCTGAGTGGTGTCTTTCTTTCCTGGATGTCTCATCCACCCATGCTTACGTGTATTTAATTGCCCTCTGATGGTTGTATTTAATGCCTTAAGGGGACCAGTTCATTTTAATATTCTAATAATTGATGATTTTATATTTCTCACTTGGCTTAGTTGCTGAGAAAGAGCTGGAGAACCTGGAGAAATGGAAGGAGCAACATAGAGTGAAGCCAATAGACCTGGCACCAAGGCAGCTAGGTAAGTGAGCAAAGTGCTCGTCTGAGGAGGGAGGACAGGGCATGCGTGGATCCCGTTAGTGCCACACCTAGCTCTGTCTCTCAGTGTACCTTACAGATGGCTGGGTCACTGTGCTTCTTGGAATGGAATGCATTTAAAATGGAAACAGTTAAGGACACAGGTATATCGTTGTTTCTCATTTTCTGCAAGTAGCAAAAGTATGATGCCACAGTTATGTGGGAATCAAGTGATGACTTAATTACCAAATAATTTAGAGCCTCTTAAATGATCAACTCTGAAGAAATCTTCCCTGGGCACTGCATATGCCCTGTCATAGCACTAGTCAGGATGGGAGTAAACGCCATCACAGCATATTAATCACAGCACTTAAATGCTAACGGGAAAAATAAAATGAATGGAGAGTCAATTCCAAAACTAAGATGGGAGTGAGCTGGGGACCAATGGAAGGTGTAAAGAGAAACATCGCCTCTGTTTTCATTCTACAGACAGAGACCTCTGGGCCTCTGACACACATGCTGCCCGTGTGATGAATGGTCTGGACTGCATTTGCTGGGCGTTTGAATCTTCCAGTGGGCGGTCGCCTAATGGGAATCATTCAGTTATTTCTTCCTTTTCTTTTCTAGCAGCAGCTAAGAACTTAAAGGGCTGGGTACACAGTTTCCACAGATTTCGTTAATCTGTGGAAATATGTCAAGTGTCAAGGGCCCCTTACTGTCGCAATAGTGTAGAGAAATATTTTTTCCAGGATATAGGTAAAAATAAGCTAATTTGGAAATCATCTAATGGGTGAAGGCAATACTATTGTCACCATACCCCCACTGTATTTCATGAAAAGGATTAATCTAAAAAATTAAGGTTATTTCACTGAGTAAGCCAGATTTGAGAAGTACACCCAAGAAATAGCTTTGTCCTTCCTAACTGGCCTTCTGGAACCGGTTCTGTGGGACTAGTTTTTCCCACGATATTTGGATGAAATTAAATCTTTTTGGTCTTTCTCAATGAATAAAGTTGTTCAGCCAATTCTAGGCGTAAAATAGTGTCATTTTAGTAATTGACCTTCATTCCGAGCTACTGGTCAAAACTGTTACTAATGGAGATGAAAACTTCCTCCACACTCCAGCCCGGGTCCATTTTTTTTTTTTTTTTAATTTTTTTAATCCTCACCTGAGGACATTTTTCCATTTTTTGTTCAGATAGAGTAGGAGGGAGGAGAGAGAGAGAGAGAGAGAGAGAGAGAGAGAGAGAGAGAGAGAGAGAAAGAAACATTGACGTGAAAGGGACACATTGAGTGGTTGCCACTCGCACAACCCAACCAGGGCCAGGGACAAACTGCAACCGAGGTACGTGCCCTTAGCGGGTACTGAACCCTGGTCTCTCTGGACTTCAGGCTGATGCTCTAAGCACTGAGCCAAACCGGCCAGGGCAGCCCAGGTCCATTTTGAGTAGAAAGCTAGCAAAGGAAATGGGGCATGGCTGCACTTTTCTCTCTTGACTGCTTTGTTTCCAGATTCTGACCCCTCCAGGGTCAAAGCAAGAAGGGAAGAGAAGAGAGGTAGGGATCTGTAGTGCACTGATCCCAGTTTCTTCCAGTACTGGTGTGTGCTTACTGTGCATTCTCCCCCTGGGGTTCTCGGAGTTCTTCAGAGTCCCTCCTTGCCTGCCAGTCATCTTTGACCTGGATTCCCTTGGTAGAGATGACATACTTTCCTGCTGGCATGCGTGGCTCCGCCATTGGCTCTTGGTAGGTAGACTCGTTTTGTAGATGCGTTGTTCCTCTAGGTGGCCGACTTGGGCTAGTTCCTTTAGGACAGCTTTAGATGAACATTCTCCTTCATGACAACCCAGACTGGGAGTACAGGAACCACAGACTCTGGGAAGACAGGCCATTCGCCGTGCAGCCACCTCTTCTTGATGACCCATCTGAGTACCAACTAACAGCAGCCTTTGGGCTCTGACTTTTCCAGGCCTGGTCCACTAGGTCCCTCAGTCTCTTAGGGACATGGATCATGATCGCCAAGTGATTTTCATTAAACCTCTTTTGGTCATCTTTACGTGGATTCCTCCTTTCCCAAGCGCACAGAGAAGATTGAACCCACAAAGACATCTTTCCTCTGATGTCTACCTCCCTTTGCCCTACCCAATATCTTTTATAGGCTGAAGATAGTCTCTAGTTAAGGTTCTCCAAACTGATTCAGTTACCCGCTTGAAGATCCTGCTTAGAGATCAGAGTACTTTGTTTTGAAATTTGGAATAGTTGGCGCCTATTGTCTTTGGGCCTTAGCTAAACATGAACAGAATCTCATTTTTGATATATCTAGATATCACAAGATATCTATGTGAGAAGAGCCTAGGGAAAAAAAAGTTCTAGGCTGTATTAAACTTTTTTGATGATTTTTGAACAAAACCAATACATGAGTAGACATCTGACTTTCTTCATTTATTATAATTCTCAGCTCGTCCCCCATTCCTCTACCCCTTAATATATTAGAGTAGTTTGCGGAGATACTGAAAGTGGCTAAAACATTAGATAAAAGCTTCAGTAGCCTTCTCTTTGTCTTTCCCTTTCCTCTGTCCCCCACAACAGAGATGAAAGGGCCCAAACCAAATATGCTTTATGTATCTTTTGGGACTCAGATGAGAAATCTCTATGGTGTCTTTACTAGTTCAATGATAAAACTATAGTTAATGCAAATTATTTTAATGCATCTTCTGTGAGAGTGAATCTTTCAGGGAACTGACATTTTTAGCGACCAAAACACCAGAGAATTATTTCAAAGGGAGCTTTATAATACACACACCAAGCTTGCATAAACACTGAGAAGTCCCTAAACAGCAATTCTTAGATGATTATCCAGCTGCTTTCTGGCCCCAAATTATTTTAGGTTTAAGAGGGAGCAGGCAAATAATCTAACACTCATATTTTTCTCTTGAATACCTGCAGAGAGAACAATAAATGGTAAAAGACTGACGATCAGTTACTGACTGGAATATTTCCACTGTACTTTTAAAAACTGGGTTGTAAAGACAACATGTTTGTCTAATGGTAAGAGCCCGGAGGGCTTCCTGAGTTTTGCTGCTTGCATACAGGCAATTGGGTCAGAAGAAGAAAATCAGTGGAAGCATCATTGATCATAATCTTTGTTAGATTAGGGAACGGTCACTCAGCCCGGCCGGTGTGGCTCAGTGGTTGAGCGTTGACCCATGTACCAAGAGGTCACCAGTTCAATTCCCAATCAGGGCACATGCCCACGCTGTGGCCCAAATCCCCAGTGTGGGACATGCAGGAAGTGGCCATTTGATGTTCTCTCTCATTAATGTCTCTCTCCCTCTCTCCCTCTCCATTCCTCTCTCTCTAAAATCAACAAAGACAAAAAGTAAAAGAAAAATGGTCAATCAAATAGGAGGAATGTTCTAGAATTTCCAAGACTGGCACTATTTCTTATTATTTAGTATGGACCTTCAGGTATGATTCCAATCTAAATGAAAACTTCAATACTGACATGACTGAAAAACTTTAGCAGGACTGTCCTGTTCTTTTAGGAATATGGTCTTTCTGTCTAGTTCTGTTTCTCTTTTAAGTAATTATCATTCTTTAATGTCTTATTAAGGAAACTGGTTATGGCTTTATTTCTAGAGGTATGAAAATGTTAAAGAAACTCGTGGTGTAGTTTTGTCATGTATTAATTAGTTTTTGATGGCTGACATTTCAGCTTAACATTCATGTTTCAACTTCGTGACTTTTTCCCCCTTAGGTGGAAGACAATCAGAGGCGGAAGTCAGGCAGAAACAACAGCTCCAACTGATGCAATCTAAATACCAGCAAAAGGTCAGAATCCATCTCCTTTAGTTTAATTTTGGCAAGGAATTTGAGCACCAGCAATTTCTAGTAACCATGAAGTAACACAGTAACTTAACCAAAAGCAACCAATTGCAAAAGGAAACTCAAAAGCAAATAAATCAGGTACTGAGAAGTGAAGAGATAGATATCTAGAATTTTCATCCAAACCATACATACATTAGTCAGCAGGATCCATGATAAAGGGATTTTCCCTCCATAGTTAACTCTACGATGTTTTAAATATTTTAATTCCAACCATATGGGTTTGTTTACCTGGTAAAAGTCATAAAAGTAGTAAGAAAATAAAAGATTTAAGTTGATTAGTGATTTTTTTTTTTACAATGAACTATGAGTTTTATAATCAGGAAAAATTATCTGCCCACCTTTTTTCCTCCCCAACTGGTGGGGTAGGTGGGTGGGTGGGTGGAGACAGAGAGACAGAGGCCAAGGAAGAAATAAAAAGTGAAATTTTATAGGCAGGGGAAGTAGCCTGGCCAGTCTCTGTCTCTAAGTAGCTTGAAGTACCAACCTATAATCATGGCGAGGTAGTGCCAAACAATACTGTAATTTGCCTTTCATCATAATTTTGTGTTCCAGAGGTTCAGACTGAAAAATAGTAACTATTTTTTGTCCTTTGTAATCTCAATACAATTTAGTTAAAAAGAGAAGAAGCTATAAGAATCAAGAAGGAAGCTGAAGAAGCTGAAATCCAAAAAATGAAGGCGATTCAGAGAGAGAAGGTAAGACAGTGGAGGGGATTATGAGCAGACATCGACTGAGGGTGTTTTATGGGCCAGTTTCTCTTCTAGGTATGGTCCATGTACAAACTCATTTAATTCTCACAAGAACCCTGCAAAGTATAAGCTGTTCTTATTACCCAAGTTCACAAAAGGGGGAACTGCCACAGAGAGGGAAGATAATTTGCGCAGGGCTCACAGCCAGTAAACAGAAGTAGAATTCAAATCCAGGCTGATGGGCCTCAGAGTCCTTAATCACCACACTACTCGACTCGACTCTCAGGCCAGTGATCAAAGACGTCACTGTATATTTGGCTATAAGCAAAGCAGTTGGTAACATACCCATCAGTGGTGCATCACCATATTTGTATTCAAATATTGACTTTTCCAGGGTGAGTGTGAAGTAGGTGAACACACTCTCCTACAGAAGAGAAAGCGTACATTTGCATTTCAGTGTTAGGGATATGATCTTTTCTAAACCTCAAAGTGTCTTTAGTTTTGATACTTCTTTAGTTTTGATACTTATTTTGGGGTTGGGTATATAGCCTCCTAAAAATGTTCATGTGCTTGGGAAGCAGGAAGAAGTGTTATTCCCTCTCCCCCCTCCACCTAATGTCATTCCCCGCAATGTCCTAAGCTGTGGTAGGTTTTAAGTGCTAAAGGTTTAGGGGCAAGGGGTTGACTCATGATACTGACTGCCAAGTATAACACCTGCTACAGGTATAAGTCATGGAAACACAATTCCTGTTCTTGTTGTGTATCTGTCTTTTTCTCCCTCCTACCTTTCTCTTTTTCTTTAAAAAATTGAGTGTTGGTCAAGATCTAAACCTGGTTACCAAGCAATACATATCTTTACCAGTTAGAGTTAATGAAGTGAAAAGCTGATGACTTGTGGAATGCATGAGAGTATTCACATTTTCTTTCCCCGAGGAGCTCTCTACCTGCTGGGGAGCAGACTGAGTTTTTCTTCAAAGGTATCTGTGCTGTGTGACCCTGAGCAGGCCGTACCCCTCCCTGAACTATTTCTATAAATGAGTCTATAAGCCCCACCTCCTCTGCTCCCAAGGCCCAGTCACATCTGTAGATTTAGATGCTGCGTCTGTAGAAATGTAGGCTCTGGGGGAAGAGAGAAGACTGGACATATACATGTGGAACTATAGTAAAATGCTGGAGGTATAAGAAAAAAAGAGCATAGGAACTTTATTTACAAAGTGTGATTCCGCAATCCATTTCCAACTCATCAGCTATTACACCTTCACTGAAAACATTTTTTCTTACAATAACGTTTTAAGCCCATCTTTCTCTTTCTACTTCTCTATTCCCCCGTCTTTTTATATCCAACTCCTCCTTCCCCATTTTTACTTCAAAGGAAGGTTCACACTTGGGTCTTGTGAGTGGAGGAGTGTCCCCTCACCCAGAACACAGTCTGCGTGCATTGAAGGTGGGACTAAGAAAATCATTTAAATCACTGCCCGGAACTGAATGAAGAGGCTTGCAGATCACGAAGAATTATTGTGTTGCAACCTCTTAACCTGAAAGTCATTTATTAGTTGTCATTTAGTACCTAGAACTGGGTGGCTTATGGGACATTTATAACTCATTTCTTCGTGGGTCAAATAGTGTATATAACTCAGAAATGTTAGTAGCTGGAATGGTTGTCTTTAACATTGAACAAAGCAGCATTCCCCTTCCAAGCCATACCATCACACTAGCTGTCCAGCAATCACCAGCTCCAGGAATCTTAAGTGGGTGGGCGTTTCTAGCATGACAGCTGTAGTAATTATCGGTACACATTTGTCCGGAAGTGAGAGCTGGGCAGACAGTGTTGATATGCAGATCCCTCCATTCAAGATGTGGCCCCTGAACCATCAGCACCAGCCTCACTCTGAGAAATACAGAACCTTGCGCCCCACCCCAGACCCTCTGATGCAGAATCTACATTTTAACAGGCTCCCCAGATGATCCTTATGCACCTAAACATTTGGGGAGCATTAACCTAAACTACCTTACAAGAGAATGACAGCCCACCCTGGTCCTCCCACAGACGTGATTTCTCTGGCTAATGGGCCTGCACTGCCACCATGACCTGGCTCCTCCTGTTGTATAGAAGTCTGTGGCTTTTCATGCTAAAGGTGAGCCTCTTCAGCAGCTTGTAGCAGAAAAAAGAGACATGGACGTTAGCCATCTAGAAAGGGCATACTTCACACTGCCGTGTGAAAACGGCCAAGAGAAGCGATCATGGTTGTGCTTGTGGAGCTTAGTGTTGCAGAGCAGACACTCATGGACACTAGCCTGTCCTCCTCCCCCGGCAAAGGGCTGCTGCCCAGGAACTCTGAGCCATGTAGAATCCAAGCCGCCTACGGCCACGCAGGAGCCTCTAGCTTGGCTTCTGGGCTCCCCCCCCTTCTTTTTCCCTGAAGGGAGGGGCCCTTAGCTAAGGAATGTGGGCGTCGGCAGGAGGTGGAAAAGACAAGGAAACATTCTCCCCTGGAGCCTCCAGAAGGAACGCAGACCTGCCGACAACCTGACTTTAGCCCAGTGAGACCCATCTGGACGTCTGACCTCCAGAACTGCGTGACTATTAATGCATTTCTGCTGTTCTTACGCCACGGAGTTTGCAGTAAATTGGCACAGCAGCAACAGGAAGTTAGTGCAACTCATGCGGCTTTATAGTGATGTATTAATGTCTCTTCCTGGAAATCTGTAAAGCAGAGAAAACATCTCTAAAATATTTAGAGCATCAAAGTGGAAGGAAGTTATTAAAAATAATAAAACGGCAGCATCCAGATGCACGCGCTGTCTCTGCCACTGGAGTTTACAGCATAAGCAGACACGAATCCTCACGGCGCGTCTCACTGGGGTTCCGTGCTGTGGGCGGGAACCTCCACCATGCCTCCCCCGCATAACCACAGCTTTTCCCCAACTTTCATAATGCCCACAAACTTAAAAAGTGAAAATCTTCCAATTCTATGTCAAAGACCCTCCCTACCTCCTGGGCTCATCTTATTCTGCCTTTGAGCTTGTGTCTGAAAGCATACAGTGCTATACAGTTTACAAATACTTTCATTTAATTCTCCCAACCTCTTGGGGTGTCATAACCTCAGAAAGGGCAGGAAAACAGTGAGAGATCTGAGTGTCATCCAAAGCCTTTCCTTGCTCAATAAACCATCAAGTTGTAAAGCTGACAAAGTTATTTGGAGCACGGAGGTCACTGTGTTTTATGCAGACGTGGGGAAGTGTTATTTTTAATGCTATGAAATGAGGTAGGAGCTCACCAGTAGAAAGCACAGTGTATATAGCACAGTGTACATATTACATGCAGAGATGCACACACCTACATCTTCTTAAGGAATCACATTGGGTATTTAGGTCTAGGAAACTTGTAGGAGAAAAAGGGCTAAAGGTTTAAGAACCATTTTAAAATTCAACATTGAGAAAGTGATTTCAATATTGTTTTTAAAAAGGAAATATGTCCATTTCTGAAAACTTTCAAGGGACACCAGTAGTTCCCAGAAATACGGTTCTATACCAGACATTGGGGTGGGCATTAAGCCTCTGGTTGCTGAAATGCTGTAGGAACCCATGAACCAATTTCATAAATTGGAATGTTAATGACATCTCTGACATGCAGCTGTAGTATTAAGAGGGCAAGCCATTAGCTTCTCTATGCTTTACTTTCCTGATCTATAAAATGAGGATAATACTAATATAATGATGGGACTGGTAGGCTGAAAGGGCACAATGATTAGCACTTAGTAAACACACAGTGAGGATGCCCTTACCTAATTAGTTATGCATGCAAAGAAGTTCCTTAACACTATCTCAGTTGACTCTACTATGTCAACCTCTTGTGTTGAAAGTAGGTAGGAGGGATTATTCTTATTTTACATGTGAATTAATTGGCTCAATTATTTCATTTTCACCAAAGCCACGTGAATAAGGTTGCTGGAGAAAACAAACAACAAACAACCACCGCTCATGCAGTGTTCTTGGCCACCAGAATTCTGGGCTTCCTTCTCAGCTGGTCTTTAACAGTGCCCAATGCTGGACACTTTTCCTTTGCAGTCTAGGCCCGTCTCCAATTACCAAGGTCTTTTTCCTCCGTTCACTTTTTAAAATTCTCTTCTTTCATTTTCATCTCATCTCTTACCTTCTAGGAAGTAAAAGCCATCAGGCCATAAGCACCTTATTTTTCTGTTTCCTTACTCCTTCTGTATTATTTCTACCCCTGCCTCATCTCGGGAGGAATAACTAGGTGCTTTGCCTTGTTGCTATAATGAATTCTACTGCCCCTGTTCCCCATCTCCCCTGCCCGTCCATATCCCCTGCTCACGTCTCACCTGCCCTTCCATTTCCCCTGACCCCGTCTCACCTGCCCTTCCATTTCCCCTGACCCCGTCTCACCTGCCCTTCCATTTCCCCTGACCCCGTCTCACCTGCCCTTCCATTTCCCCTGACCCCGTCTCACCTGCCCTTCCATTTCCCCTGACCCCGTCTCACCTGCCCTTTCTACTGCCCCTGACCCCGTCTCACCTGCACGTCCATTTCCCCTGCTCACGTCTCACCTGCCTGTCCATTTTTGCAGGAATCTTGCTGCTATCAGTTAAGTTCCCCCCTTTCTTCCCTGTCACTTTCTTGTCTTTGTTTTTTATTTTTTGCAATCTCAGTATATAATCATACTCCAGTCTCTCATCTTGAAAACGAAGTGTCTCTCTCTGTTCTGGTTTGCTTTCAGCTCCTCCATCCCAAGCATCATGGCTCAGCTTCTGATAGCTTCTCTACCACATGGAGTTTCCACATGCTGGTCTGTGGACTGACACGAACAGTCACCTGAATGACAGCATCTCTGTTTGACAAAGTGTTCCCCAGGGGATGCTGAGCTCAGCTGGCTTAGGAACTTACCTTCTTTGAGTCCTCACTTTACTTCTTTGCCGGATTTACCTTCTGTCTCTAGTACTTCACTGGTATTGAGCTAGCCAAGCTCTCCAATGGTGCTCTTCACTGGCCAAACCCAATGGACTTGGGTTTAATCTTCTGACTTATTTAAACTCTTTGTAATATTGTAACTATCAAGTTCTCTGTCCTTTATTATTATTTTTAATTAATTTATTTTTGTTACAAATGTTTCTCCTTTTTCTCCTACAAATGGCTAAGAGACATATGAAGAAATGCTCAAGTTCTCTGTCCTTTAAATTTCACATCTAAAATGCTTCTGGATCCTTTTATTCCACTTGGTTTGCTACTATTGATGTTCCATCAGGTCCCATTCCTTGGTCCTCTCTAATGTCCCTGTGCCACTGTGTCCTTAAAAGGAAGCCCCCACATTTCCACATTCAAGGATTTAGTTACTGCTTTTACTGATGTCTTCTGAAATCCATGTCTTCAGGCCAGATGATATTCCTGAACCCCAGGACCAGATATTGTACTGGATGCTTGGTATTTCTCTCTAGATGTTCCACAAGAATATCTCAGATCTAATAGGTTCACAACTCACCTCATCTGTTCACTCTTAAATGACATTCATCTGGTACTTCTCCCTTTTTTCTTACTCATCCTATATTACTATAGTCATATTTTCTATTATTTCATTTTTTTTCACTCCTGTTATTTCTGTCTCCTATATTTTTTTTTAGAGTTTGTTCTTTTTTCTCTGTCCCTGGTACCTTAAACTGGGACTCGTAATTTATGGCTGGATTACTGTGAGAATCACTCCACTGGTTTTTATATGTGTGGTTCATTCTCTGTGATACTTTCAGAACGAGCTGCTTACTTTCCTGCTTAAAGTGACATAATGGCTTAGCATTGCCTTTAACGAAGTCCAGACATTTTTACTTGGCATACAAATTCCCTTATAATTGCTCCTTCTCACTTTCTCAACCTTATCTTCCCCCCATCTCACTACAAACACCTTTAAATGTATCCAGGAGCTCCTTGGGGGTCCCTGAATTGGCATTCTCTCGTGCCTTTGTACACTGAAATACTACAAGCTGTGGGGATGCCCTTTTTCTGTCCAGGGCCACTACCAGCCCATCACTGCCTTTGTGCAAATTAGAAATGATTCTCTATCCAGGAAGGTCAGTTCTGCAGGTGCTCAGATGGGTGATAGATGGCACCTTTGTGAAAAATGGAAAAAGGTACCTGTTATGCTGAAGTACCTCATGTGGGGATGCAAGGCCAGGTGAGCTGAGAGCTGGCTCTTCTTTTTTTTTTTTTTTTTTTTTATCCTCACCCGAGGACATTTTTCCATTTTTTGTACAGATAGAGTGGGAGGGAGAGAGAGGAAGAGAGAGAGAGAGAAACATCGATGCGAAAGGGACACATCGAGTGGCTGCCACCCGCACGACCAACCAGGGCCGGGGACAAACTGCAGCCGAAGTACATGCCCTTAGCGGGAACCGAACCCTGGCCTCTCTGGACCGCAGGCGGACAGAGCTGGCTCTTCTTCAGCCTTTCCAACCCTCTCCGCTTGGGCCTCCTGGGCAGCGTAACCCATCTGATGGAGTACAATAGCCCTCCTCCCATCATCCCTTTTCCTCCTGGAAAGCTCTTGCTTGTGTAAGATTGATCCCTGTCTAGAATTCCTACCTCTCATTAGACCCATGTGATCATCAGTCCCTTGGGGGATCTGAAGAAAGCTCCAAGCCCACACTTTGTAAAAATGAGCATACTCCTAACACATAGCTCATCCATGAACCCGAGGCTAGAAAGCACGTTTTGAGTGTGTTTTTTAGCTACTTGGTTCCCATGCTCAGGATGGGGTCTGCAACTTAGTAGGCACCGAATGAACATTTGTACAACTGTTGAGAGCATTTCCTGATGACCCACTTCTGTGAATTTGTTATGTGTCTGTATTACATTATTTGTAACTTTTATCTACTAACATATTTTACATACTGCCATCATTGCTTTCTTGTCTGTGTCCCAGATAGCTTATGAAAATTTTCCTCTGTTCATATCTACATTCCCAGCATCTAACATAGTACACAAACATAATAGGCATTTGACCAGTGTTTGTTGAAATTCAATGATATTAAATAACTTAAGGTCACTCCATCAGTGATGATGAACCTAAAGCTGGTTTCATAATTTTTTTTTCTGGATCTCATGTTCTTAGATATTTTACATTCTGCATTTGAGTATGTATGTGTAAGTATGTTTGGGTGATTCCTTAACTCACTGTTAAATGGAAAGAAATAAACAGTCTAATTAGATCCAAGTATTTAGGTATTAGATTTAATACCTACCTCCCTGGGACAAACTGCAACCGAGGCACATGCCCTTAGTGGGAACTGAACCCGGCTCTCTCTGGACCGCAGGCTGACGCTCTAACTGCTGAGCCAAACTGGCCAGGGAAAAAACCACTTTTTAATTTCTGACCTTGCTAAAGAAACCCAGCCTCGGTCTCTAGATGCTTGTGTGATTTTTTCTTCACTATTCCCAAAGTAGCATTGCTAATACTGAATTGCTAATACTGATTTAATCAATACCTACTGCTTGCTTGCTTGCTGTCTCTGACCATTTCCCCCCCTCAGAGATGTAAGGAGCTCATCGTAACTGACCACTTTTGGTTTCATGAGTCAGAATATTTTTCTTGATTGGAATCATGTTTATTTGGTTTTATAGTTCTCTGTTAGTTTGCTTCCTAGAACTGTGTTTCATTAGTAAGCCAGTTGCTTTGCATTGTAATGGATTCATGTTGGTTGTAGTAAATTTCCTTTTTTTTTTTTCCTCCAAAACTGAAACCATCTACTTTACCTTTCAAAATGGGACTGCTAAATCGTTCTGTGCTAATGGAGAGTTTTATGGAAATGAACACTATGAATAATTTCTACCCCTCTTTGAAAGGTGAAGCCAGAGTTCCGTCAGGGTTTGGAGGTGATTGTTTCCACTCGCTCCTTTCGCAGCTCCTCCCTCTGGGCCCACCAGTTCTTTCTGTTAAAGCAAACCTAGCTGTTCACGTCTCCTTGGATTTGTTTAGAACTGTGTTGTAGAACTTGTTTCAACTCCCCATTAGCTCTGTTGTCGGGGAATTTTACCTGTTCATAGGCAAGTTTTTTAAAGGTGACAGTGTGTCATCGTGAACAAGAACCAACTGTTGTGAGTTATTTAAGTTTGGTTAAAATATGCCAGAGCCACGGTGACAGTACTATCAGACACGAAGTTCTTTGTCGCTAGACTCTCCAAACAACTAGTTTGAAAAAGAGAGAACTCTTTTCTATCCTAGTGGTGGCTTTTAATGGCTGTTCAGTCTCTCAACAGCTTGCAGTTCTGACTCTAAATCAGAAGGGAGTTGGGTTGGCTTATTGAAAATATTTTTCTGGATGCTTTAGTATATATACATTTTGTATGAACTATTTAACCATTTATCATCATTCTAATTTAACATACTTGGTGCGGAAATTTTATGTTTCCCTTAGAACATTTTGAAAATGCAGCTTAAAATATAAATGTTGCTCTCGTTTGAACTAAGAGATAAAAATGTGAAATACTGATTGTGTGGTTAGACCCATCAAGTTGAAGGTGGGGGGCCAGGGGATGAACTCGGGGCTCCTGGCTGTCGGTGTAGTGCCCATGGCGCTGTGAGAGCGATGCCACCTTGGAAGGCCTGGCAGGTACCATATTAGACCTTGAGGCCACTTAAGCCCGAGGATTTTGGCAATGGTAACTTGAACATCATGATTCTGTTTAAGTTTTCCTATAGGTTACATGTCGATATTTTCAATTTCAGAGCAAAAAACTAGAGGAGAAAAGAAGACTCCAAGAAGACCTCAGAAGAAAAGCATTTAGAGAACATCAGCAATAGTAAGTTTATGTTTTCAGAACTTTGCACCTTTATAGGCATATTATTCCTTCTGTTTTTTTCCTAAAAATTAAAAAAATATTTGTATTGATTATTAGAGAGAGAGAGAAAGGGAAAGAGGGAGATAGAAACATCAATGAGAGAGAAACGGCTGCCTCCTGCACACCCCTACTGGGGACTGAGCCTGCAACCCGGGCATGTGCCCGGATGGGGAGTTGAAGCTTGACTCTCAGTCCATGGAAGGATGCTCAGTCCACTGAGCCACACTGGCTGGGCTGCTTCTGCTTTTTAATTCTAAGTGATGGTAACTTTTCAAAACATCTGGTATTGGATTATTAGATGTTATATTAATTATGTAATTGAACTCCTCATTATGTAGGTGAGGTTCTAAGGTTGGAAACATCCATACTTACCAGAGCATTTTTTAGTAGTCCACTGATTAGAAATAATACTGCTAAACTTGAGGAATTCTTCATTATAAATAATTCGAAGGGCTTGATTCTCTGGTGGCTTAGGATACTTCTGATTATATTGACTTCCAAGACACTGACATAAGGAAGAGGGTGTTTGAAAAGAAGTACTCACACAGAATCTAAACTAACTAGGGCTTTATCAAATGGATTGAGGACTATTACAGGTGTGTATTTTTGTAGACAAGAACTGATAAATTATTTAGCAATTATTGGCAAAACTGCCAATTGGTGGTCATACACCAAAGTACTTTCCCAGTGTGATTTGTGAATAATGGCAGCGAACATGTATAGGATAACTGCTCTGTGCTGTATAAGGTAGATAATCTACTCGTTTATATAGGATTTAAAGATAACTTTGTGTGTTAAGACTATATATTAGGTTACCTGCACACTGCTTAAAAGGTCAGACAAAACCAAAGGAATATATTTCTGTCCCTAGGGCGGTTCCAAATGTGGTAGAATGAAAACCAGGCAGATATGGGTTCAAAGCCCTTGCTCCATTTCCCAGGTGCGACCCTGGACACACTACGAAACTCTTTCAACTTCATTTCTTTCTTTTTTTAAATAAGGATGATAATGTTCCCCATAGGCCGTTTGTAAAGATGAAATAAAATAGCTTCTGTAAAGGGCATAAAAGTGCCTAAATATTATAGGGACTTGAAATGAAACTTTTTATAGAGGTCCTTGCTCAGTGGGACCAGACAACCTTCATTTTGCTGGGAATGTGTAGAGGTTTCCGGCCCATGAGGCCGAGTCACTGACCTCCCGCTTTTAGATGGATTGTTCTCCTGACACCCTCCTCTTTCCTCTTCCCATCACGTCACCTCCTTTGCAGAATCACGGTTATTGTGATGTGGGGGAGCAGGTGTGCCAGGCTCAGTCATGCTCCTCCCGCAAGGACAGCGTGCTCTTGCTTCCTCATGCCGCGGAAGCACTCCTGCCCCTTGTGAGCAGTCCTCTCTGCTCTAGACTCAGAGCTCGGAACTGGAAAATCCATTGCTCAGAGCTTCCCTTGGCCCCTAAGCAAGTTAGGTACTTGACCCCTGCTACCCAGCCTAGAAAACGAGTGGGAGAGAAATGGGGTTGAACGGAAGTACGAATGTATTACCCTCATTTGAGTCATAGAATTCACACCCTGTCTCCCCAACTCTTCTTCTAAGGCAGGCCTGGGGTATGCGGGTGAGGGAGCTAGTGGGAAGCCGAACACCAGAAATTCCCGGTCTTAGAGAGACGGCAGGGAGAGGCAATAAATTAAGGATATTCCTGTATTGTTGAGCCCCATTCATGGGTATAGAAAGGATGAGTTTAATTCTATACCAAACAGAGTAGTTGAAAGAGATAAGATTCAATAAGATAGAGATACAATAAGAACAAATGTATTTATCCTGTGGCCTCCTACTTTTACACTGGAAAAGGGGGAGACCTGCTTACTAATGAGGGGTTTTAGGGATAGGACTGGGAAGTTGAGTGAGTCCTTTTCTGGAGAGTTTAAACATGCTGAGGTGAAGGATGGAGATAGTTTGAAAGGACATGGAGGTGGTGCCACCCAATCACCTTTCTTTCACAGTCTTCCAACTTCTTTAATGTGTGTTGTACTAAATGCTGAAGCTCAACCATCCCTTTCCTGTGAAGAAAAAGCAGCTCTGCCCGCAGCCACCTCACAACCATCAGTGGGATGAATTCGATTCCACGCACATTTCACTCCTGATCTTTCTTCTGCTTATCCTGACGCCCCAGTTAAACAGGGAAAAGAGAACTTGGCTAAAGATGAGAAGTATCTCAAATAGATTTTTGAAGCCTATTGAGAAACACAAGAAGTATATATATATATGTGAGTTTTTTTTTAAGAGTATTTTTTAACTACTTTTGAAATTAAAAGACCATTAGTTCATGAAATGAATGACCATTATATAAGTAAAAATATGAAAGGGATTTCTTAGAAAGGATGGCCCATCTGTATAACAAGCCTAGGTCATACCTTCTTAGAGTCAATTTATGGGGGGAAATTGTTAGAATTTTAATAGCACAAAGATTTCACCAGACCAAACAGGCTGCTTTCCTCCCGCAATTAGATTCTCCTAAAGCTGTCAAACCAAGAAACACAAAATAGAAACACAAGTAAGGAATTCTTTCAAACTAGTCAATACCTTCGTGTCCTTGCCATGTTCAGCATGCTGTGATATGTGGTTCAGGAACTTGTTTTTTTCCCCTGTAGAGAAGGGTAACCATAGGCTTGAGCAGACTGTAAATCCAGGTTGCTAGAGAAAAAGCTCATGATAGCATCCTGGGGCACCACCACAAGAATCTTAATGTGCTCTTCTTAACACCTCATTCCCGACTTCGTTCATTTCCTTCTGATTATTTTTAGTGTTGTCAATTATTTAGCTAACAGGCAGAAAACTAGGCTTTTATTGACATCCAAAGGGACTCTCCTGAGTGTAATAATGAAGGCAGTTTATTGAATGCCTGTGAGGTTGCTTTCTAATTGTCTGCATTAATCTGCCCGGCAAGCTGGCTGAAAATACCCCAGCAGATGCACGTGCAGATGGAGCGCGCAGGACGGCTTTTATGAAAAGACCTCTGGAATGTACTTCTGCAGTTCTGTCTTTTCCTTAAAAATCGAGTGACTGTGACTATTTCAGTTGGCAGCTGAGAGCAGACCAGATTAATGGTGCATTAAGTCTGCTACTCTGGCTGGGGACAGACTCAAATTTCACAATTTAGTGTTAGTTCTAGGATTATTGAGCATGAAAGTGAAGGGTAGAAATTGACATCTAACCTTGGTGTCGTTTTCACTATCATCTTTGCTCTCTGTATTTACTACTTATAAAAAGTCGAATGTGATACTTTTCAGGATGGCCTTTTCTATTAATCAGTATTACTGATAGATTTGAAGTAACAGTTAATAAACCCTTTGTTGTGGGTTTTATATCAAAGAGAGGGTGTTGTAACTTAGGTTATTTAAAACATTGAGTAAAACCTCAGCATTAAAATTTTTAACTGGTAATTTATTTTGAGGGTTAAAGTCATCTTTCTAATATATATATTTTTTTCTGGATATAGAGACAGGTTTAAATTTTGAGATTATTTAACCAACAGTGGGGGCTCAGGCAGGATTTGTGGTGGGTAGTCAGATGCATTTTGTGTGTGTGTCAAGAAAATGAATGTCCTCTTATGGATCTGTTAAAGAGATGAGAATTGGGTATCTTTTTTTTTTCATCCTTACTCGAGGACATTTTTGTTGTTGTTGTTGTTCAGATAGAGTGGGAGGGAGACAGAGGAAGAGAGAGAGAGAAACATTGATGTGAAAGGGACACATCGAGTGGTTGCCACCTGCATGACCCAACCAGGGCTGGGGACAAACTGCAATCAAGGCACATGCCCCTAGCGAGAACCGAACCCGGATCTCTCTGAACTGCAGACTTATGCTCTAACCACTGAGCAAAACTGTCCAGGGCAGAATTGGGTGTCTTTTAAACATTTAAAATGTTAATTCATACCTAATGACCATTTAATATAATAGGTTATACATTGTTAAAAAATACAAAGTGTTGCCCTGGACAGGTGGCTCAGTTGCTTGGAGCATTATTCCATATACCAAAAGGTTGCAGGTTCAATTCCCGATCAGGGCACATACCCAGGTTGTGGGTTCAATCCCCAGTTGGGGCGAATGCGAGAGGCAACTGATCAATGTTTCTCTCCCTCTCCCTTCCTTTCTCTAAAATCAATAAACATATCCTTGGATGAGGATTTAAAAAAAATACAAAGTGTTTGGCTTACTTAATTTAAATAACCAGAGTAATAATAATCTGCTGCTGTATCATTGAGACCCTGTGGAGTGTCAGGTATATTATGCATAACATGTATCATGTATATTTCTTCATTTAATTTTTAGATTAGCCCTATTAGGGCTATATCATCCTTATTTTACAGGTTGAGGACTGGATAGTTTAAATTGCCCAAATTCACAGAGATAGCAAGCAATGTGACCAAATATGGGTCTAGAGATTTGAAGGGTTTAGACATTTAGAAATGTGGTGTACTTTGATGGTGAGGAGGTCTGCCCAGGGTGGGGGTGATGAGCACTGTAGCAACTTGAGGGACCTGTGGAGAAGACTGTAGGGTAGGTCAGTGCAGAGAGAAAGGCTTGGGCAAAGTTGACTTCTGTTTCTTTCCACCAAGACTTAAATTTTGTCTAAAGAAAGACAAACTGAGGAAGCATGTCTTCTCTGATTTTCATTATATGTGAACGACATGCTCTTCCAAGTCCAACCCCAGATTAGCACCACAATTAACCTTACTTGTAGGTACATGGGCTTTTGTGACTTCCCTGCCTGTGCTCTACTCCTAGGTACAGTTTCTGATACATCTAGGGGAGAAGGCTCAGTTCTTAAAATCCCAGGTTGAAAAGCTCTTGGAATCAAGCTCATTTCAAAATAGGATGTTCCTATTTCTAAACTGTCAAGTGCCACCTCGTGCTCAGCCTGTCGAGTATAATGTTGAGAAGTTTTCTGCATTTCTGCCACTAG